ATAGTATTTTTTAATGAAATAAATAAATATAGAATTCTTTATGTAATTGCTGTGTCACGGCAGAAAAGACAATAAAAACAGCCCATAGAAAGGCTTGAATTAATTAGTAGAACCCGTACAAAAATAAAAATGAGACTTAAATAAAAATAATAAATAATTATATGATATAATGAGCATTTAGAAATTTTGAAAAAATATAATATGATACTATTAATAATCTATTATATAACAAAAAAGTGAAATATTGCAATTCCTTTAGGAAATATTGCAATAATTTAATTTGTAACAGCTTTCTCATAAATAATTTATCACTGGATAAATATATCAATGTCAATTTAACTTACATAGCACATTTCAGTACATGTAGACTCAATGTCCTTACCACAAAAGTGGAAAACTCTGCAGGTCTACAACATATTAAGTCAATAAAATCAACAAAACAAAACCTCACAAAGAAAGACTGAATTTTGTGAAGAAAAGGACAAAAAAATATTTTTAGTTTATATTTTTTGTTGGTTTTTTTTCCCTTTTACTTCACCTGTGTTTTTGTTTTGGACTTCGATACTCTCTCTATACCCTAAAGCTACAGTATAACTTACATTTTTTTTTAAATTATCTACACAGTAAACTCTTTTTTAAAAACATATTAGTTTATTCCAATGAGAAAGTTCACTTCATCATTTGTCTGCAGCATTTGACCAACATGTGAATAAGACTTCCTGATTAGGTCATCCTTTAAACCCACTACTACTCAAACTCAGCCCATAACGTCTCTATGAGCATAAATATATTAAATAGGAGTAGTTACTGTCTGTAGTTGTAGGCGATGTCTGCGAACTCCTTCCTGCGAGCTCTGTATACTGGATCTGTGAAGCCCTGACAACATACACACACACACACAAATAAAAGCCATGTTAGATCTCATGATTGCAGCAGAGCCACTCAGCGCTAAATCAAAGGTGGAAATCCTTTGGGAAGGCCAAACTCACATACATATTCAAATGAAGCCTTTGTAGAGTGTTTTTCAGCTTATGATGAATGCATTCTGCTTTAATGTCAGTGGCAAAAGGGAGCAATTATCTATAATTACAGGGGCTCAATTAAAGCACTGACATCAATTTGTGTGTGTAGATAGTTTCCATTAGAATGGATGGCGGAGTGTGGCCTTGTCATCTCCGCTGCTTTTCATAAGCAAGCGCGTGGGCGTGAGTGGACGTGAGTGGACGTGCATTCACGTGCGCACGCAGAGGCAGGATGTGGCGGTGGATGAGTCGGTCCTTACCGGGTGATCGGCGTCCAGCTCGGAACCATAACTCAGGATCTGGTTGGCAAAACGGTCCAAGTCCTGGATATCATTGGGGAACCATGGCACTAGAGGATAACAGCAGTCATTAAGTACTTATAATTTATGTTTTAAGTCAACATGGGATCAAACAGACCAGTCGTGCAGTGTCTGAAGGGGATATTCAGTGTTGGGTAAAGGGTTAAAGGTCATCTCTGTGCCCTTTTATTGTCATATTATGCAGAGATAAGTCAAGTGGCCAAGCTATTTCAACAACTACAATAACCAAGTGGGGTCATATTAATACAGGAATACTTTTTTAATGACTGTATTTGTGTTTATTATACCCACTATGCTCAAAGGAGTCAACCAACATATCTGCGCCACACTTTGTGCGTTGAGTGTCTGCTTCAGAGATTCTGCAGAAAATCTGTGTAGTATATGGCTATATATGGCTCAAGAATGATCCCAAGATTATTTATTTATTTTAAAACAACTTGTTTATTTTATTGTTTCTTATTGTATCTTTCTTCTTTGACTGTTATGGCACTTAATGCTCATATTTATTTTACTTTTTGTGTACAGCGCTTTGTGGCTGTCTGTAAAAAGCGCTTAATAAAAAACTTTCATTTAAGGAAATGATCATCAGTTGAAGCCTGAATATTTTTTTATTCCTGACTTATATAAATGGCTGCAGTTCACATTAATATTGATGATTGTTACACAGTCTTGTGTGCGTTTTGCCTGCAAAATTTGTTTCAGTGCTGTGGCATTTTGACACTCAACAGAGCTGTACATGAGTGGGGCATCTGCTTATTCATATGGATTTATGACACTCAAAAAACAGTGAGGCACAATCATTAATCTGCATTTGGGCAGTGTGGTCCAGCCTGAGGCCCCTGCAGAGACAATAAAGCTGTTTAGGCTGTCTCCAAAACTGGCCATAAATATCCTCCTTGTCCACTTGACCCTGACCAGTACGCCACAGAGTCTATGCCGAGGTCAGAGGGGGATCCATGGTGGCCCTGTCTGTCTCAGCCTGCCGTGACCTTGGCATGTTCTCTGTCCTTGGGTTAGTCTGGGGCGGAGACACTAAACTCTTCTGTTCCTGCCGGGCCTGTTGGTCCTCAGTAGCTAAACTAATGTCATTCTGGAAACAACTAATAAAAGGGGCAGTGGGCCATCATTCTCATGGGCGACACTGGCTGTCCATTACTAAGTCTGGCGTAGCTCAACACCCAGCACCAGGCCCGGTTGATAAATGGATCATTTCAGCTGTAGTGGTGTCAGCTTTTTAGATTTATTCATTTTTTTAACCACAGCTGTTTCTGGTTCTCAGAGAATATACCCTAAATTTCCCTCTATTACCAAAATCTTTAATCTACATCGCACAATATTACCACTACTACTTCTATCATTTTCATTTATGTGTTGAATTCAAATATACTGCTATGAAGGTTGGTACAGATATCAGGGGTCCCCAGAGGATACGCCCATATTTTCCTTTGTTATCAGAATCAGCTCAAAGGTATGTATATGTAGTGACACGTATTTACATCTCTTGGGTGGCTTAACATGAAGCACGGTAATGACATTTCCCCAGAGGATGATCACTGGTGTCTATCGCAATGAAATTTGGTACAGACATCAAGGTTCCCCAGAGGCTCGACAAAGCATCTACATCGAGGTTTACTGTGTTTTGTACTAAAATATCAACTATTTAATGTCAACTCGATGGTCTGCTACATAATCTAGTACATCTGGTTCCAGAGTATACCCTGACCAGGGTATACTCTTAAAAACTTAAAAATTACATATATGAAGAAAAAGGCTCTTTGACAAAAAGCATTTATGATCCCCAGAAGATAATCCCCATTGTGCTACATTTTTTGTTATTTTGCAATGAATGACCTTGTTTAATATCAAATGGCTTGTAATTAATTATTTGCAGGTATTCATGTGCCTCTTGTAATCATTTTGGAGACCTAGTGCCATCCTTTGGCTAAAAATAAAAGCGACTCAGATTTTGATTTATAAGTCTAAAACTTCATTGCATTGCTTGTTTATCACTTAAAGGCTGAAATGACTGGCATATTAAACACGAGAATATATCTGTAAGTTGACATTCACATGCAACATATATTCACATTTAATAATTTGATCATGTTGCTGATTGAAAGTGCTCTTGTTCAGTGGACATCCTCATACAACTTACTCACTAACCTGTGTCCTTCTCTTTGCTGCGTGTTAGCTCGTGCACATGGCCGCTGATTTGTGTGCGCAGGCAGTCAATGACCTCATCCAGGGCCTGAGAGCAGGAGGAGTCTACGCTGATGAAGAACTCATACTGCTCATTGTTCATGCGCGATGGACGGGACTCGATGTGTGTCAGGTTAATGCCTTTCTCCTGCAAAAAGAAAGATGTTGGCATGCGGGTGTCAGCTGTTTATGTCTTTATGTTTACGCTCATCCACGCATGTATTTTGTATACGGAAATGTTAAATTTGTTTGAGAGGGATTTCTAATAAAAAACAAGGTGGAAAATTGTCCCGCAGCACTGCCTTTGTGCTATCACTAGAGGGTGGTGTGCTGTTAGTAAACTACTAGAGTGCACTCTATCAGACTTTGTGAAGACCACAGGTCAGCTGGCTGGAACTCGCTGAGCCAGACACTGGATGCATTCTCTTAGTAAAGACGTGTGGGACATGTTGTAATAGTTAGTACACAACTGTGGAACCTTTGGGAAGTTTCCAGAGTTTTATGGTTGAAATTCAAGAACTGTACTTGATCTTAACATGCAAAATAGTTCTGGCTTGTATGTGAATGAATTTTATATGGTAATTTTCACCTAAATGTGCTTTTGTTTTTGTGCACGTTTATGTAACTTTTTGGAGGGAGTGTGTTATTTGTTTGGTCCGCTATAGGCTGCAG